ATGGTCACTTGGATCAGTCTGGAGCTGAATTCAACAACTAGATGTTATAACATAATGCTGTGACATTTGGTTCAACATCAGATTCTTGGTTGGTGAAGTGGCACATCAACTTAAGATAGGATGATCTACGAAGTTGAAGATTAGATCCTTCAAAAAGATCGTCTCTTTGTAGCTCTTTGGAGTTGTTACATGTTCCTGTCTTAGTGTATCTAAGCCGTTTGTGATAACTTGTAGCTTGAAGTTCAAGTTTCAATTGGAAGATCAGAATATCCTTGGGAGAAGTCTGATAAACATGGAGAATTCAAAAGGTGGCATTTGATTTTTTTTATATATGAGGATTCATGAAGGAGATAATCAAACAATGGCATTTGGTCTATCTCAGCAGTGGATTCAGAGAATCAAGATAATCAACATATGGCAGCTGATTATTATCGAGAAAGTTTGATTCACAGTATGAATGCGTTCAATCAATATTGTTGAACAGAGGGTGCGCTCTTGAAGACATGAAGATGCGTCTTATGTTTTCCATTCATCAAGGGGTCTTATTTACTTTGAATCAGAAGTTGTCTTGAAGGTCCAACTGAGTATTGAATGTGACCTACTTGTTTCCATGAGGAGAAGTGATTGTCCCTAACAGGGGGAGTATTGGTTTGTACAAAAGGTCTTCATCAAACTCGTAGGATATAAAGTGTGGCACCTTATTAACCATTGGGATGATGTGTTCAAAACTGAAGAGGACTATGTCTGACCGAATGTCATCACATTGGTAATGACATTGTTCCTAATTTCCTCTAAAACTACAGACAGGAGGAAAATTGGATGAAGTGTGGAATATTATTAATAAACCCATGTGTGTACAGCTATATGACTCAGAGGGAGTAACCATCCTCCTTGTGAAAATGGAATGGTTTCAAATTGCTAATATAAAAATAGCAGAATGTATGACGACATAGGATTTGAGCGTGTTTTCATCTGCTAAGAAAATAGGGCGGATGTGTCTCATTATGGAGCAGTTTGGTGAGCTGGAATGTTTAGGTGATAACTTGTCATCTAATAAAGGTATTATATAACTGAGGTATTATGCCAACGATGTTTCTTGGATAGGGGATCCTAAGACAAGTACATAAAGGGAGGAGTCGGTTCTAAAAGACAAATGTCTGTTTTAAAAAGGGTAAGACATACTTCATCCTGACAATGGTCAAAGGGTCAAACCCAAGGGTAGGTACCTGCATTAAAACCAGTCCTAGGGTACTGAAACTGTCAGAGTAAAGTACCAAGATCGTTACTATCTGTGCCAAAGTTGCATTATTTATGAATACTCTCTCTATTCTTCCTCTTCATCAGAGGGTTTCAGCAATATGAAGTTTGTTAGCATCTGGGAAAATTGTGCATGGGTATGGATCTGTATGGGCAGTCTTTGTCAAATTCTGGCCAAAAAGGGGGAGAAAGATAGGGACCCAGGCGAGACTCTGGTGAAAGCAACAGAAGGCAATGTCCAGCAAGACTCAGGTGAAAGCAACATGATCACAAGTAAGTGACTTTGTTTGTGTCTTGTGTTCTGAGTTAAGAGGATAGTTGTGACTTGTGATCTGAGTTACATGATCACAAGTAATCAGTATCAAGATTATCAACAATAATCTTGAGAAAAGAAATCCTCTTGGGCCATCGATGGCTTGGAGTGGCTCACAGATGAGGGACAGAGGTTTGTTGTTTGCTCAAAGGACATCATCCTCTACAAAGAAGATGTTGGACAAGATGTTGTAACATCTCAACTGTGTTGTGGCCTGGTCCCAAAATGCAACTTGCACTTATTTGTTTTAGCCAAAATTTGCCAAAGGGGGAGATTGTAAGTGCCCTGGCTGGAGAGTTGGCTTCATTTGTAAAACAAATAAGAAAGCAAGTTTACCCATATTCCCTCTGTTGTTTTAATATGTTGGGTTGAAGAAGTTCAACATCTGGACCAACATGTTATGTAAGATGTCACAACATCAGCATATGACATCGCGCCTGAAATTAAGTACTAATTAAGTAACTATGTTATATGTTGAATGTTTGTAACAGCTGTGACTTGTAACCTAACTATTTTAAGTGATCTGAATTATGAAAGAGGTTATTTGTTGTGTTGAAGAAGTTCAACATCTAGGACAACATGTTAGATGTAATGTCATGACACCTGACTTGACATCACGTCAACGGAATTAGTAATTCAGTTACAGTTCTGGTACTTAAATACTCTGAGAATATATGTGGCGTTTCTTATGGGGAATCTGAAGATCAATCAAGAATCAATCAGAATATTTGAAGAAAATACTGTTTCTAAATATGGAGATATTTTAGGAACTAGAAGATTGAAGACCTTGATTATAGCAGAAGTTTGCTGCTGAGTTGTAACAGCAAGGAGAAAAGCTTGCTGAGATTTTTGAAGGCCCAAATCCAGTTGGGTAATAGGTTATAAATAGCAGATTGTAACCTAGGGTTTGTAAGCCTCACATAATGTAACATTGGAGGTGTTTTGTTAGGTAAACCTGTCGGTCTGTGGCAAGGTTACCATGTGTGTAACTCGATACCTGTAGGTAAGAGTTTGAGTGTTCTTGGACGAAGCTATGAAGCAGGTCTAAGTATTTCTGCATTACTTCATAATTCATTGTAATGTAGGAAACCAAGTGGGAGGGCTCTACTTCTTGAGTAGGAGTAAGACTTCTGTTGCTGCGGCAATAGGAATGGAAACTGGTAGGTTTCTATCTAGGAGTTCCTACGTATAGGTTGCACTGGGTAGATGATTAAGTGAAGGATGGGAACTTGTGAAGTTTAGTCCTGAATTAATATTGCTAATAGTGGATCTTCTTCCTGGCTTGGTATGCCCCCAGAGTAGGTGTGTTTCACCGAACTGGGTCAACAACTGATTTGTGTTTTTACATTCAACACCTTATAATTCTGTCTGTTATATATCAAGGTAAAACTGTAATGTTGTAACAGATGATGTCTCAGAACATATTAAGACATCATGCTGATATCTGTGTAGGAGAAACAGAACTGTGAAGGTTGTTTGCTCTCTGCTGATCATGTGCAACAGATGAACAGAACTAGGTACATCGTTGTTCTATCCTCTGCACCTTCAAAGTATATCTTACACAGCTTGGTTAAACTGTGCTTCTGTTACTCTTTAGTACTGTAACACGAAAAATTGGGCATCTACCTTGCATTGTATTTATTATGTCATATCAGATGTCTAGACATTGAGTATAACATCTGAAGACTGGCATACACCAGAATTTCAAATTTATTCTATATATGTAGTTATTTTGTTCATAAATTTTTTCTCTCTTGCATCTTCTGGCTACTTTAGTTTGATTAGGTAAGCTATTTTTCCATTGTTGTTCTTTGGTCTTTATTATAAAGATTAGGAATCTCACTTAAATTTGTATAATTGTCTCAGTAGCTTTTTTTTAAGAATTTGTTTATTCTCCACTTTATTGGATTTTGCTGTAAACATCTAACTACAAAGGTTATTATAATCTTTGTTGAGATGTTAAACTGTGATAATTATTTTAAGAATTTCCAATGCCTTTTGTACTTTGTGAAATCTCTCTGTACTTGCTTGATTTGTGTAGAATGTATTTATCTGTGATTATTATTTTTAGAATTTCCAATGCCTTTTGTACTTTGAGAAGACTCTCTGTACTTGTTTGATTATTTTGTCTTGTCATTCTTTGTTGCATAACCGAATCGCTAATAACATGAACCAAACTAAAACCATTTAAGAACCAGAACTGAATTGCTAATAACCCGAACCGATTCAAAAAACCGAACCACCAACATTCATCTATTTTTAAGTTCAATTTTAGTTTAGTTCTATTTGAACTAGTTCACCAAACTGTTATAGCGGTAAGTAGTCAATGACTTGATTGAATTCATTTTTGTTATTGTGTGAAGATTCTGGCTTTTTAATGTTGATTTACTATAATAATATTCATTTTATATTAGAATATGATTTAAGTCTTTAAACACATGAACATAATTCAAATTTTTACCTGCTACATTCTACAATCAATATTGACTATTTTGAAAAGAAACTAATATAAACAATTGTATTTAACCATAGTTCTAATATTCCCCTAAAAAAACCATAGTTCTAATATTATCATCTTGCCTGTTACTAGTATAACGATGCACGAGGAATGATTGAAAACAGGGTTAAATAAATTTTGTTCCCTTTAAATATTTTAAATTTTGTTTTTAATTTTTCAAATATTTTTCTTTAAAAATTGGTCTCTTTAAAATTTTCCGTCAGAATAATTAGTCCATAACGTCAAGTTTCACTAATGACTTCCTATGTGACAAGACATGTGAATTAAATAATTTTTTCTTTTTTGATATGGAATTCATTACATAAGTGTCATATCTTATGTTTCAAAATCAAATTCCTTCGACAGTGATCTCTCTCTCCAACAGTGGTATCTCCATCTTGTGGTCCCAACATTGACGAATCTTGAGCTGGTTTCTGTGGTCCCAACAACGATTAGGTAAGTCTCACTTGCTATAATTTATTCATTTCGAGTATTAATTGCATGCGCCATGTGCTGGTCCCAAATTCTAGGGTTTTTGGTTTTAATCTATTGGTAATGTCTGAGCTGTCCTTGTTTTTTTTTTTGAAATGTGTAGGCAATGAGGTTATTTAAGGTTGTCTTTTATACCAAATGATCATTTGTAAATGATGAAGGGTTAAAATATTAAGGGGGGATGTTTACGCTGTATGTGGACAAGATCCTGATTTTTGGTCATACTTTGAAGCATGTGACTTAATTAAGGGTATGGATTCATCGTTTAAAACTGAAAATGTGAAAATGTGGTGGAAGTCTAAACATGGCTCACTTGAAAATGATCTAAAACCTCTTGTTAATAATGAGGATGCAACAATGTTAGCTATGTGTGTTGAGGAGACTGAGTGTGATGCTGAGATATATACATAGGCAAGATTATCTAGTGGTGAGAAGACTTATATGGAGAGGTTAAAAGAGAAAGTAAAGGGCCATGTTAATGTTGAGGAAAATGAAGATGGTGAGGACAATAAATCATCTGAAGACTCTTTGAATGGTATACACTTTGAAGATAATGAAGAAGAGAGGATGCACGATTTTGATGAAGACATGGGTGAAGGTGCTGGTACAAGTGGAATGGATAATGGTGATGGTACATGTCAAATGGATAATGGTCAAGGGATACATAAAGGGTTGACTACAACTGAGATGCAAAGGGAACATGTAATTGAGGATGATTACATCACATATGAGCTTGATAGTGGGACAGATGATGATAGTGATGACGGTAGACCTTTAGTGATAAGGTTTAATGAACATGAAAACCTTAGAAAAGAATTTAAATTCAAGGTGGGAATGGAATTTTCTTCCTTGAAGCAATTTAAAAAGGTTGTACTGGAACACAATGTGTTGAATGGTAGGGACGTTAGGTTTTCTAGAATTGATGAGACAAGGTGTAGGGTTGTTTGTAAGGACAAACAACAATGTGATTACACAGTTTTATGCAGCAGGGTTTTAGAACAACATCATCCAGGATCAAAACTCTATTTTAGAAGCACAAATGTGGAATAAAGTTCTTCAACAAGAATGCTAATGTCATTTGGGTATCTAGAGTGGTTGTTGACAAGTTGAAGAACAATTCAGGTATGAAATTGAATGAAGTTGTAGCAGATGTAAGATTGGGGTTTGCTATAGAAATTACTAGATGTAGAGCTTTCAAAACAAGGCAGCTAGCTAGAAAGGTTGTTGAAGGGGACTCAGCCAAGAAAGACAGTATGCTATGGTCATATGGAGTTGAATTGAGGAGGGCATCCTAAGGAAACATATTTAATTTGAACATTTATGGTTTGCCACTAAGGTTTGAAAGGTGCTACATTTGCTTTGATGATACAAAAAAAGCATTGAAGGTTGGATGTAGACCATTCATAGGATTAGATGGATGTCACCTAAAAAAATATGGTGGAATCTTGTTGATAGCTGTCAGTAGGGGTGTTTGTGGTGCGGTTTGGGTGGTTTTGAAGCAAAAAATTACTCGAACCGCAAGAGAAAAAACACGCAGTTCGGTTTGGCTCGGTTGACTTTTAAAAATAAATTTGAACCAAACCAAACTAATGTTGTTTGGATTTGTTCAGTTGGTTTGGTTTTTTACAAAAAAAATTATTAAGACATACATACGAATATAGAGGAAAATATAATTGTGTTTAATTGTTCATACATTACCATAAAAAAATTTATAATTGTCAAAATAAGTTTATAATTTGATACATAAATTTGCGTATTATAATTTTATCTAAATCTAAAGAATGATATAGACAAGATTGCATTCTTAAATAAATATTATACAAAAAATACGATAAAAATATATTTTGTGAAAATGGTATTTATAAATGAATAATATTTTTTTTTATGATTTGTAAATTATAATAAATATAATACAAAGTATGATAAAATATACACATAATACGTGTTGATTTCTCTAAAGAATTAAATAAATATATATTGGTTAGTAAGATATTATAACATAATGTGATTTTGTTTGGTTTGGTTCAGTTTGTAAAATACAAACCGCAAACCGAACTGAACCCCACAGTTCCTTGGGAAAATGACCCAAACACATCTGAATCAAATGCGGTTTTTTACGGTTTCAGTTTGGTTCGGTTCGGTTTTGTGGTTTTCTATTAGACTGGTTTGGTTTGAACACCCCTAGCTGTCAGTAGGGATGCCAATGACCAGTATCTTCCACTTGCCTTTGGGATTGTGGAGAATAAAACTAGGGACTCTTGGAGTTGGTTTGTTAAGTTACTTCTTGAAGATATGATTCTGATAATAGATGGTGCTTCATGTCTGATCAGCAAAAGGTATGCTTAATGTTACTTGTTAATTTAATGTTTAATGTTACTTATTGATGTCATTTTCATGTATATGCATAGACTAGTGAATGTATTTGAGGAAGAATATTCTGAGTTTGAACACAGATTTTGCTTAAGGCATTTATACGCTAACTTCAAGAAGAAGTTTAGAGGTGGTACACTATACAGAGATCTCATAATGGCTGCAATAAAGGCAACCTATTTTGAAGCTCACGAGGATAAGATGAATCAAATTAAGGAGGTAAGTCCAGATGCTTTTGGATGGCTAAATGTTATTCCCAAGAATAAGTGGTGTAAACATGCCTTTCCCTTGTACTCTAAGTGTGATGTTCTTATAAACAACCTAAGTGAATCATTCAATGCTATTATTTTGATGCAAAGGGATAAATCTATAATTACCATGTTTGAGTGGATTAAGAACTATCTTATGGCTAGGTTTGCCACTCTTAGGGAGAAGGTAGAAAATTATAAAGGAGAGATCATTTCTAAACCACTTAGAAGGTTAGATAGGGAGATAGAAAAAAGTGCTAATTGGCTGCTCACATATGGAGGTAGATTAACATTTCAAGTAAGTCATGTAATATTCACAGAAAGTTATGTTATAGACTTGACAAAACATACTTGTTCTTGTAACTTTTGGGACTTGGTTGGGATCCCATGTAGATATTCCGTTGCAACCATACATAGGAAGGTAGATAATCTCATTAAGTATGTACACAAGTGTTACCATAAGTCTACTTATGTCTCATGTTACAATAAAATTGTCAGTCCCATTAATGGCCAAAACAAATGGCCAAGGACTACTGACCCTGACACCTTACCACCAAGTTACAAGAGAGGTCTTGGTAGACCAAAGAAACTCAGAAGAAGAGAGTCAGATGAGGCAAGTCAAACAAGGTGGCAAAGGACAAACACAAGCCACATGTGCAACACTTGTTTGGAATATGGACACAATACAAGGACATGTAAGAAAAATAAATAATTAATTATTGTTGAAGGTGAACTGCCAATACATGTTGCACCCACCCAATGAAGTCAAACACAATATGTGGCTACTGATGGATCCAAAAAAAGGGTTAGTAACTCAATCTGAACAAAAACTTTACATTAGAAATTCATATATAATTTTCAATGACTTGTTACAATTATGTTGGATGCAGGGTGGACCAAAAGTTACAACAAAAAAAGGAGGCACATCTAAGAAATCAAAGGCTATTATAGGAAATGAGAGTCAGGCTACTGCGGGAAATGGGAGTCAGGCTGCTGTAGTAAATGAGAGTCAGGTTACTGCAGGAAATGAGACAGGAAATGAGGCTCAAACACCAATTACAAGAAATATGAGTCATGCTACTCAACTTGAAGAAAACCCTGCACCAACTGATGTGACACCTGCTCAACATGGGGTACACCTTTCACAAAATTCTGTTACCTCATATGAGGTAATGAGAATGTATTGTGATATAGATCATGATGAATGAAAGGCATTGTTGAATGCTGATGGCATACTAGATATTCCACCATTAAGAATTGATACTAGTCATGCAAAGAATAATATGCCTGGTCCCAAAACCTTTATTGGCAAATGTTCTAAGGTATCAAAACCTGCTAAACCTACGGTTAACTCAACTATGAGTGACCCTGTAAGTTTGTAACTTGTTCTGATAGAATTATTTGGCATGTTATGTTTTTTTACCTTGATAACTCTATGTTGTTATAACAGGTGAAAATAATGATATCACCAAGGAAAAAGTCAAACATTGTCGCATCTCCAATTAGAAAGAGTGACAGACTTAGGACTTCGAAGAAAAAGAATATAGAGGGACCTAGAAGGGATCCAAATGATCCATTTGTAATACTTGAAGAAGACTCAACTATTGGCAGTTCTAGGGGAAACAAGAAATAGGATGACATCCAAAAGAGCATGACTCCGTGAAAACTAAAGAGTGACACAAATGTGTTTTGGTTGAACCTTATGTCTTATGAACCTAGTGTTTTGTTATGTACTATGAAACAAATGTATGTTGTATTACGAACCAAGTGTTTTGCTATGCACTTTGTAATGTGCTTTGTTATGCATTTTGGAATGTGCTTTGTTATGCACCTTAAACCTTTAATGTATTTTGTACTCATGTCTCAGTATGTGCTTTGTAATGTGATTTGTTATGAACTTATGTCTCAGTATTATTTTGTACTCATGTCTCAATATGTGCTTTGTCATGCACTTAACAGTTAAATTACAAGCTTTTTATACCAAATATTGAAAATTATGTCAACTTAATCATAACAAACAATATTGATAATAATTCATCACCTACAATTATTAACAATTCAACAACTACAATCAAGTACATTTATCTAAGTACATTGAAGACCTACAATCATAGTACATTCTCATTACATTAAACAATTCATCAACTACAATTGATAAGAAAATACACATTTATCATAAATGACACAACAAGACACAACATCTTCAATCTTCCATGAAATTTCTTAGTTTTAAATTTGGTCTTCAAGTTCTTGTTCTTCTTCCTTGAATCTTCATACAAGGACTTCATATATCCCACATATGCCATTGCTTCCAACTCTGAGTTCCTAATGGTAACATCTTCATTTCCAGATTTTACGCTAAGATCTTCATCCCATATGAATAGATTACACGTATCAGAACTCTTCCAATAAGGATATCTCCAAAACAACCTACCCTTATTTGGTCCATTCTTGCAATAATATGATACCATATGAATCTGACATCCACAAAACTTCCTAACTCGCAATTTCACTGAAGCATAAGAAATTATGTTATGGAGCTGAAGGAGGACGGAGATGAAAGAAGAAAAAAGATGAACCACTGAACCAACTCTTGTGCTGCGGATTTTCACGAAGAAGAATGTGAACAAAGAGGAAAGGAATTAAGTCAAATAACATGTGACTCATCTTTAATAAGGGGCCAATGTACATGCTGTATTTCATGAAAATATATAAAACAAATTATTTAATCCACCTGTCTTACCACATAGGAAGTCGTTAGTGGAACTTGACGTTGGGGACGAATTATTCAGACGAAAATTTTTGAAGGGACCAATTCTTGAAGAAATATATTTGAGGGACTAAAAACGAAATTTGAGATATTTAGAGAGAACAAAAATTTATTTAACCCTTGAAAAAAAATATGAAGTTGGTATGCACTAATGAAAGTATTTAACCATAGTTCTAAAATATAATTTTAAAAGAGACATGACAGTACAATAATTTATAGTACTAACATAAACAATTGTATTTAACCATTGTTCTAATTTATAGTTTTAGGAGAGATGTGACAGTACAATAATATAAAAATTCTCTAAAGATATTTGACTTAACCTTGATCTTATCCTTGATGACAATACAATAATATTAAATTCTAACTTTTTTTAAACTGTTTTTCTTAGAAAATGAATAAAGAAGAAAGATTAAAGCAAAAAATGATAGATCAAGACATGCGTGAAAAAAATACTTTCAAGTTTGATCTACCTATAGTAAGTGTAGAAATATGTTTGTGTTGTACCCCAAAATTTTCCCTCCCATTTTCATTCAAGATTTTCTCCTAGGGTTTCTCAAATGCTCAAAATGGCTCAAGAATTGATCAGACAAATTCTCCTCCTAAACATTGAGTCCACAACTAGGGTTTGGTATTTCTCAAGTAATATTGGGTTTACAAGGTCTCAAGTGTATTTCATGGTGCTTCATATGTATTCAAGAATGCTCATATTAAATTTCATGCCTTGCATCACAAGTTCGCTCAGTTAATTGCTCGGATGACCGAAAATTAACTGCATTGACCAAAAAGTCAACATTTTCAAGATCAAGTTCAAATGATTGTAAACTCTTCATTATTCAATATTTTTGAGTGGTTATTTTTATGTATGACTCTCCTTGACGTCATCTCCAACTTCTCTTTACAAGTC